TGGTCCTCTCTCATCCTTCACTGTTGTCAGTCCACCTTTTATCCTTCCGGAGGTCCTCCGTGAGACTCTAGACCTGTGTGACGTGCAGGTGATGCTCAATGACATTCCTGCTTGCCACACTACTCAAGAAACATTTCTTATTACCAATGTTGAAAACAGTTGTGTTGCTTAATATTTTGGGGAAACCATGACACATTTTTTCTCAGGTTTCTTTGATGAATAAAAAACCATTTGTTTGAAATAGAAATCTTTTTTAACATTATAAATATCTCTTTACTGTCACTTTTTCACAATTTAATGTGTCTTTGCTGAATACAAGTATTCATTTCTTTAAAAAAAAAAACGTACTGACCCCAAACTTTTGAAGGGGTAATGTATGTAGTTAATGTTTAACTTAAAGCTGCAGTCCGTAGCTTTTTTTGGGTTAAAAATTATCCAAAATACATATTTGAGAAAATACATAACCAGCCAGTGTTCAAAACTCTCTGCTTGCCGTAGCTCGATTCAAAGCGGTAAGCTTGTAATAATGTTTTTAATTCCAGTGGTACTGGTGGATTTCCGCGGGAGTTTCGAGCATGTTTTTGCGTCATTACGTCACATCTGTAAACACAAAGAAGGAGTCTCGGTGAGGATGTTGGAGGTGGAGATTTATAGCCTTTTCTCACAGCACTTGATATAATTAAACGTATTAATTTGATTGCGGATCCAGAAAGGTTCAAACGACAATCACCAGTGACAACAGATTCACCCGCTGTAAAATGCAAAATACTTTGTTCGGACTTCGGAGTGGCTACAGAAAAAAAGAGACTGCAACCGGACCCATGCGAAAGCAAGGATAATATCGGAAGGACATTAAATGTAGTCACGCAATGCTGACGTTGTTAACATTAACAATTTGAGAACAAAGTATAATTTGCACAGTTTTGCGTGATATGATAAGCGATTTTTAGATTTAATCAGCGCGATTTACTGCAATGTCAGAACCAGAGCAAAAGTGGAATTAACTTACTTGTTCAGATGACATTTTCCGGTGAAAATTATTATGTTGGTCATACTTCCAAAAAGAATAATCTGTGATTCTGAATGACAGTATCCACACCGACGCGGTGACTGACAGCCTCACATCTCCTCAAACATTGGATTCATCCGCGCTGTGTCGTGTCGAAGTACAACTCACGTAAAGTTGATAATTCCGCGAATGACTGCAATTGCAGATTTCGAACAGAGATGGCGACAAAGAGGAAAACCTGCGGACTGCAGCTTTAATATTTAAATATTTCGAAGAAAATTATTTGAAATTGCTTGATTTCGAACATCCTATTGTATGTCATGTTTTTTTCCTTGGCCAATATCTTTGTTTGTTTGTTTTGTTTTTTGTTCTTTTTGCTGTGGTAGACTGAAAACCTTTGCATGCCTATTTACTCCACATTACCTTATACTTAACAATTCGGCATATTGCTCTTGGTTGAACATACCCATTCAGCATACAGCAGAAGGCTCTTAGCAGCTCTTATGTTAAATTGTTACTTTACGTGACGTGATGTGAAGGTAACCCATACTCTGAATTTGTCCTCTGCATTTAACCCATCCATGTTTGTGCACACACATTAGCAGCAGTGAGTAGTGAACACACACACCCGGAGGTGCCTTGCTCAGGGGCACCTCAGTCGTGGGTATTGAGGATGGAAGAGAGCGCTGTTCATTCATTCCCCCACCTACTTTTTCCTGCTGGTTTTGAGAATCGAATTCTGACTCTCTAACCATTAGGCCACGACTAAGATTGTATAACTCTGATTTGTTTCTTCCTGCTGAACAGTGGTAATCATGATACACTAAATCCAGACATTGTCACTGTGCTAAGAATGACTGTCATCAAAATGAATTTGAATGTAAATTCAAATTTAAGCATAGTGGTCTATCCTATGTATTCCGGGGCAATAAAGGTGACTGATGCTTATAAACTGTAAATCCAGTACAGATTTGCATTAAAACAACAGCATCATGTTCTTAAACTCTCCTTCTATCTAAGGGATTTGACTATTTATACGAAGGGGCTCACCTGACACTTAAGTCTTGATTTTTCAAGCTGTTGTGATTTGTTTTGAGCGTTCATTATGCTGTTTCATTGAGGTCCTCTCAAAACCATTTTTTTCATGGTTCATATCCTTTTTCAACTTTTCTTGTTCTCCCTTTTATCTTTATTTCTCCATTCACTCGTCTGACAAGGGCTTTTGAAGCTAGGCCATGAGAGCATATAATAATGCCATTATGATTCACTGATCTTCTACTGGAGCAAATGGCCCCTCCTTCCCTGAGCGAGCCACTTTTTAAAACCAACAGCGCCGACGACGATTAGCCTGGCTCTGTCCTGGCTAATGAGCTCCTTGTTAAAGTTTAATGTCTGTGTTCCACTGCAGTCAAGAATTTTAAGCGCCGGCTTCGACTCTCTTCTGGGGAAGTGTGCCACGTTGGGCTGTTGTTGGTGAGCATGCTGATGATGCTGTTAGTTTTACACTTACAAACATGTCCCAGTTCTTTGGCCTGAGGGCTGGAGCTTTGAGGATTATTATGAATGCTTAGAAACTTTTAATCTCAAACTGTGTGTTAAGCACACTATTCCTCTATTACTTGTTGTAAGTCAGTGATTCTTCTTTGTTGTTTTTTTTATAAATTGAGGGTTTGTAAAGACTTGCAAGATTGGATATGTGGGTAATATGTCTCAGTTTGATATTCTAAATGGACAGTTCACCCAAAAATGCAAATCCTGTCAATATTATGTTATTCCAAACCTGTATAACTTTGTCTCTTCTGGCGAACACAAAGATGATATTTTGAAGAATCTTTCAGCTCTTTGCTTGTACAGTGAAAGTCAATGGTGTCTAAACAACATGGCATCCCACTTACAGTTGTGGTCAGAATTATTGACACTCCAAAACACGTAGGCCATAATTATTGGCACCCTTTTATTAAATATTTTTTGCAACCTCCTTTTTCTCCTATAATGCCTGATGAGTTTGGAGAAGACATGACAAGAGATCAGAGACCATTTTTTCATACAGAATCTCTCCAGATCCTTCAGATTCCCAGTTCAGCCCAATCATTTTCTTTAGGGTTCAGGTCAGGGGACTAGGATGGTCATGGGAGAAGCTTCATTTTGTGCTCAGTGACACATTTTTGTTTATTTTGATGTTTGTTTTGGATCGTTGTCTCGATGAAAGATCCTACCACCGTCCATTATAAGATTTCTAGCAGAGGCCGTCAGGTTTAGATTTTTTATCTATTGGTATTTGCTAGAATCCATGATACCATTTATCTGAACAAGATGGCCAGGACCTCCAGCAAAAAAATAGGCCCACAACATTAAAGATCCAGCCGTATATTTAACCGTGGACATGGGCTACTTTTTATGCCTGTTTGCACCAAACCCATCTAGTGTGTTTGCTGCCAAAAAGCTCTCTTTTTTTTAGTTTCATCTGACCATAGAATCCGTTCCCGTTTGAAGTTCCAGTCGTGTCTGACAACTGAATATTATGCTGGCGTTTGTTTTTGGATGAGCGAGGAGGATTTTTCTTAAAATCCTCCCAAACTGCATGTGCTGATGTAGGGTTTGTTTTATATTTATTTATTTTATGCTTTCTGACCCCAAAACTCAACTAATTTCTGCAATTCTCCATCTGTGATCCTTGGAGAGTCTTTGGCTATACTCAAACTATCCTCCTCGCCGTGCATTAAGACAATATAGACACACGTCCTCTTCCAGGCAGATTTGTGACATCTTTAGTTGATTGGAACTTCTTAATTATTGCCCTGATGGTGGAAATTGGAATTTTCAATGCTTTAGCTATTTTCTTACAGCCACTTTCTATTTTGTGAAGCTCAACAATCTTTTGCTGCACTTCAGAACTATCTTCTTTGGTTTTACTCATTGTGATGGATGATTAAGGGAATTTGGCCTTTGGGTTTCCTCATATACTCCTGTGAAACAAGAAGTCATAGCCAATTTCTTGTTCCTAGTCACCCTGGTGTGCTAAGAAATCTCAATATTAATGGGAATATACTTCAGAGGTATTTTACTCATAAAAAATTCTAGGGGTGCGGACAACGTGTTCTGGAGAAAAAGATTTATTTCATAATGTGATTTTACCCCCACTTTCAATTCTTTCACAATGAAAGGTTAGATTTTTGCAAATTCTTTGAAGGAAAGATCAAAGTGATAAACAACCATCTTTGATCATATTTACCTGGGGTGCCAATAATTCTGACCACAACTATACTTTTATTTAATGCAAACAAAACACAGAGACATTTTTTTTTTATGTTTGGGTGAAATATCCCTTTAGGTATTGTCTAACCAGTTTCTAGTCTGCTACTCTGATATGTTTAATCTTTGTCATCCTCCTCAAAATGAAGCTTGAGCTTTTTAGTGCGGAAATAATGTTTGCAGTCAGAGTGCATTTTAATTTGGGCCATTATGGCATTTGAAGCAGCCGTCGGGTGGAAACATGTCATATACAACTTCAATGTTTATTTAACTCTCACTTTCTCAAGTTCAGCTATGAAATTTTCCAGTAGGCAACGATTAATCGCATCCAAAATAAAAGTTTGTGTTTACATAATATATGTGTGTGTAGTGTGTATAATTATTTTGTATATAAAAATGCACCCATATGCATAAATATGTATACATTTAAGAAATATTTGCATGTGTATATATATTTATACATAATTTGTTATATATAAATATTTTATATGTTAATAACACATTTTTCTTAAATATATACATGCATGTGTGTGTATTTATATATACAAAATAATTATACACAGTACACTCACATATATATTATGTAAACACAATCTTTTATTTTGGATGCGATTAATCGTTGCCCCAGATTTTGCGCAAATGAAGGTGTCTGACAAGTGAATAATCTTTTGCATGTCTGCACAAACATTCAGCATTCTTGTAAATGAATAAAATATGTGCCTTTTTTCTCATCTCTTAGTGATCATGCTGGAGTGAGGGGACACGAAAGATCTATATGATCTTTTGGATGTGAAGTTCCACAAGCTGCTGAGTAGACGAGATCAAGGAAGACTGGAAGACAAGCGAAGAAGTGAAGGAAGGAAGGACGGAAAGAAGGAAGGAAGGAGTTGGTTGGACTGGCTGAAGGGGGGGAAAGAAGGGCTGGATGCTAGCCTCTATTTATTCTAGAAGTTCCCAGGTTCCTCAGAGATGGCCTCCAACTTCAATGACATTGTCAAGCAGGGCTATGTCCGCATGCGGAGCAGGAAACTGGGGGTGAGTAGTAGCTTTTAGTGCACTTGATCTTGATTTTTTTTTTTTTTTTTTACTTGTCTTTTCAGGTCAAATTAATTTGATTAATTTAATGTTCTATTCATTATTTTTTAATGAGTTTTCTTGTTTTAGTTTTAATAATCATTTTAGTTAAAAAACATATATTTGGATTTGAAACAATTTCAATGAATACAAAGAAAATAATACAAAGTAATACAATAATACAAAGTAATACTTTGAATTAAACATTACATTTTGAAGTTGAAAGACTGATATAATATTTTGTTGTAAAATGTACTCCAATAATCTTTTTGTTTTATTCACAACAATATTTTTTTTTAGTGTAGCGTTCAGATTTTAGTGGTATAAAATTTCTCAGCACAGTCCCTATTGCTATCTTGTAGTGAATTAGCTTATTATTATCTTATAGCGTATTATTATTATTATTATGCCATGTAGAAAATATTATTTTATAGTTTAAGTTTTTCACAATTATGATGTTAGTTTTATTTTATTTTTTAATTTATTTTTGTTTTAAATAATTTCCTGTGTTTGTTTTAATTTCCGTTAATAATTATGCTGGAGCCAAACATCATATATCAGTTTGTGTGTTGGTCAGCATTTGCTTTAATGGTGTGTGATAGGCAAGGTAATGAAAGCATTGCCGCACCAAAATGTCCAAGTATTGTTTATCGTTTCATCCAGATCAATTTAGACGTCTTGCACAAAATATTGGCTCAGTTTTACTGGATAATTATATGTTTTTGAAGAGATTGAGCAAATGATTCCCTTGGAATAGGCTTGTGAACCAATAATGCTGCAGGACGCAGGGGGACTACATTCATACTACTAACTTAGCCTCATCTCTGGCCTGGAGACCTCATTACAGCTTTACAATCTTCCGCTGACAGGAGCTTCAGCCTTACAGGGTCTGAGAGCATCTCCTCTGCTGTCCCAGTTAGTTACACTTACATAAGTTTTTTTTTTTTTTTTTTGCCTCTGGAAAAATCTCATTCTTTCTTCATTTTCTTTTTGTCATTTTACTTGTCATTTTTCATTAGTATTTCATTCTGTTTGTCTCTTGCTTTATTTCCATTACAATCACTTTCCATTACGAGTTTTCCTGCTCTGCATATGCTTTTATGATTACAAGCATATGTTTTTAAACTATTTCACTGCTGAAATCAATCTGGATGAATCGCATTGATGTTTCAGAAGGTCTAAGAAGACCAGCATTACCGTGTCTAGTAACTTTCTGAGTGCCTCTCGAGCTCATGCACGGGTCGATGGCTGAATTATATAGTCAGCAGGATTGTGGTTATCGTGGCAGCAGTGGGGTTGTGACACATGGTCCCCCTGGGGAACGCAGTGCTAAATAATCTAAGAGAGGAGTTTATATTTTACAATTTCCTTCTCTTTTTTTTTTTTTGGTACCCTTTATTTCTCCTCTCCCTTCATTCTCTCTTTTATTTCTCTTTCTTCTTGTTCCTTTTGCACATAAACATCTTGTATCTGCATCTATGCTTTTCTTTGTCTCTCCTTTTTGCTTTCCTGTGCTGCGCAAACTCAAAACGGGCACCGTTCCTCCATCATTGTTTAACAAATGGCTTCCCTAATTGTAAGTTAATTTCCTTCGTCTATTTAATATTATGCTAGTGCACGTAATGCAAGCACAATATCGTAAATCCCCGCTTATGCACAGCTAATACTATTTACATCCATGCTGCTGCCTCTGCTCTGATTTGGCAGCAGCAGTGAGTGTGTGGCGGCATTTGCATTTGTGTCTGAGCTGTGACAAAGCCCTCTCTCTCTCTCTCTCTCTCTCTCTCTCTCTCTCTCTCTCTCTCTCTCTCACACACACACACACACACACACACACACACACACACACACACACACACACACACACACACACACACACACACTGGCTGTAGAGGAACTAACATCCACAGATTGGAGGAAAGATTGTGTTTTAATCCATTATCATTGGCAAAAAGCTCCCACATTACAGCATTTTCATCATATTGTCCATCTGAGAGTAGTATTGAATGCGGGTGGTAATAAAGCCTTTGACCACCCAGGTTTATTTAGTCATTACCATGTTTGTTATAGAAGAGGATTGTTTAGCGATTTGACTTTGGTTGTAACTTTCTGTAAGACCTGGAACTTACTGACTGATCCCTCTGGATTCTGTAAACACATGCATTAGTGAACACATGCACACACTGTAAAAAAAAAGTTGCTGCCTTAAATTTTTAAGTACAATCTACTTGGATGTTTAATTCATTTCAACTTAAATTACATTAAACTGAGTTTAAAAAATGAGTTGAATCTTGTATAACTTATAAAAAAAGTTTAAAATTGCTTAACTTATTTGGATGAGTTAAAGCAATGTAAAAGCATGTTGTCAACTTATTGATCATATCATTTTTACAGTGCATTGTAAGTCATACAGTATTTCAATAAATAAAAAAATAATTTACAGTCTTGGTGGTTTAGTGTGGTGAAATTTAATAACCATCATTGATGATATTAATGAGAACATCACTAGAGGACTGAAAAGAAATTTTGTAAAGACAATTGAAATTTTTGTATATTTATAGTTTTGTATAGTTTCCACACACAAAAAAGTTAAGCAGCACAACTGTTTTTAACATTGGTAATAATAAGAAATGTTTCTTGGATCATGTGACACTGAAGACTGATGTAATAATGCTAAAAAATTCAGCTTTGATCACAGGAATAAATTACATTCTAAAATATATTAAAATATGAAAGTCATTTTAAATTGTAATAATATATTTCACAACATTACTGGTTTTTTTTTTTGTATTTTTAATTAAATGAATGCAGCCTTGGTCAGCATAAGAACTAAATAATGTACTAAATTAAGTGCATATACGTTTAATAATGAAAAAATGTCACTGTTTGAAATGTATACCTTGAATGCAATGTACACCTTAGTCGCTTTACATGTTGCCATAAAGCAGCTTGGTGAGTCTCGTCAGCCTTTCATCACACTGTTCCAGACCACTGTCTCAATGTCCCTTCCCCCTCCCTTCCTTCTTCACCTCCCTCGCCAAACTCCCTGTGCACCTCTAGGGATGCTAATTAGCCAGACTATATACCTCTCTATCTCTCCCTCCCCTTTTTACTGTCTATCTCTACGGCCCACTTAGGGACCAAGAACCCCAATCAGACTAATCAGAGGTCTGTTTAGCATTCTGCTCGGGTATCGGCAGCCCAGGACCGCCGGCCTCACTGCCATGCTGGAATTACCCTAATTGCTCCTCAGCCACTGCCAGCTCTTTTGAGTGCGTTTGCAATCGTAAACGGCCCAACACCAGGCATCACAATTATGAAACAACCCCAGACATTAGATGGGGAGAGGGTGTTGGTCGATGCAGGTGACAAAGACCAAAAATCAAATGGACATGCATTGCAATAGCGCGCTTAGCCCTTCTTTTTTTGTTATCCACCTCTGAGGGGAAAAGCCCAGATCTGAAGCTACTGTGACGCAAACAGACAGGACCTGAATTTTAGGATAGTTTCAGAAAATCCCCAACAGGTTTCAATGGACACAGCCATTTTAAATGTAGTCTTGCCTGAGAGGAAGTGGTTTAATTTTAGCTTTATGCGTAGCAGCAACTGTTGTTAAAATAGTGTCATTATTCCTTTGACTATCCTAGGATGCCAAGCTGAGTTTTGTCAGATCTCAGAGGAAAAGCAGATGAGAGATGAACAGCTGACAAAAATGCATAAATGGATTCATACCAAGGGCAAACAGCCTCATTAGTCATTATAGGCTTATTATCCTATGAAATGTTGGCACATTCTGCCTCTGTTTTATCTCTGCTTCTTCCTTCCAATAAATAAGCCTTTCACTGTTTCAGTTTAAACGTTGAATTCTCCCTCTGCCTCCATACGCTGTTATTGTGTCCTTCATTCTATTTCTCCTGCCTCTTCTCTTATTAAGACCTGCAGTAAGCACTTGAGATATGTGTTGTGTATTCCTCCATGCATTATTCCCCCATGTTTTTAACACATTTGCTTTGACTGCCATGACAATTTATTCTCCATGTAGAGGTTTAAGGGTTAAAGCAAGACAATATGAGGTTAACTGTGCATGTTAATACAGAGTACATTTGCAGTGTGAGAAGACTGACCCTGAAACAAAATTAGCTTGGTTACCATGGTTTCTTCCAAAAATAAGAAAGAAGCTCAATTATGCTGTAAGCCATATAGTAATTGAGAAAAATAACATTCAAAATCACACTGTTGTTGTAGCCTTGCCAATATTCAGTACTGTGGTATAATTGCGAGTGAGATCATTGCTTTCACACAGCAGCTAAAAGCAATAAATTAATATTAATGATCTGACATTTCAGACACAGTTTGGCCATTTCATTAATGTTTGCTCTGGAAAAATGGATAAAAAAACAAACAAACAAAAAACAAAGCAGGGTTGGAATTGGAATTGCAATAGCATGCAGCAAACGCAAACAAGTGGAGTCAAGCTGCTGCTACACTGCCGTTCAAAAGTTTTAATGTTTTTGAAGGAAGTCTGTTAAGCTCTCCATGTATTTGATCAACAATACAGTAAAAACAGTAATATTGTGAACTATTACAATTTAAATGTTCTATTTTCATATATTGTAAAATGTCATTTATTCCTGTGATGACGAAGCTGAATTTTCAGCATCATTACTCCAGTCTTCAGTGTTACATGATTTTTCAGAAATCATTCTAATATGCGGATTTGCTGCTCAAGAAACATTTATTATTATCAATGCTGAAAACAGTTGTGCTGCTTAATACTTTTGTGGAAACCGTGATACAATGTTTTTTTAGGATTCTTTGCTCAGAAGTGACAGTAAAGACATTTATAATGTTGCAAAAGATTTAATTCTCAAAAATTAATGTTCTTTTGAACTTCCTATTCATCAATTTAACACATCCTTGCTAAATAAAAGTATTAATTCCTTCAAAAACAATTCATACTAACGTTTGAACAGTAGGATCTCCTTCAAACAGTATAAAAAACTACTTTCATTCATTTCAATTTCTTTTTGCTGACAGTGGTGGCTATAATACTAAGTTAATTGTAGTCCTTTTTACACGTTACCATGATACCTTTTTTGTTTTTAAATGTGAGTGACACCAGGACGGATCGTATTTGGTTTGTGTGTGTATAAGCCTCTGCGTTTGTGTATAATTGTTGTGTGGACAGATATACAAACAGCAAAGCAGCAGTGAGAAAGAGCATGTCTCACCCACACACACACACTCGGTCGCTCTCCGCCGATGCTGTTGCTCAGTCTGTTTACAGAGGATTAGTGGAACCTCAGGGGACAATATGATGCAAACAAGGGATCAATCTTTTACCTACTGTGAATGGAAAACCATGCAGCAAACTTTCTCCATTTTTCCATAAGATGTGTCCAAGCATTCGAGTGGCAATAACATTAAGGTCAGCAGCTTAGATGACAAAAACAAAAGCTCATCAGCTCAGTTCAGATTTCTATTAATCATCTCGGCAGGAAGTTGGACACGCTGTAAGATGCATGAAACTTCATACGGTAAGACTCCAAATCACCTATTTATATGTTCATTAATGGACAGTAGGGTTAAAAGCATGTGGACTCGGTTGTTAAGCCTATGTTGTATTTGAGGGGCAATGCAGGCCTTTCATTATACAAGCTTGATGACTAATGCAATGTTTATGACTGTGTGAGTCAGAATGTAACTTCATTTAAAAACAGTCTAAACACCAGGGAATTTGATCAGAGTCTAAACACGTTGACTTTAATTCGCTCGTAAGGGTTACTGAGGCAAAAGCGACAAATAATTCCCCCGTAAAGAATAACATTTTTCCTGGTTAACTCAATTCAGTTCAAATGTTATAGTTTCTCTCTTGCCATCCTTGTCATCTTCCGACGCTTAAAACGCAAAGGAAAGTGCATGAAGCTGAACTGCTTTTTCTCAGGAAGCTTATTCTGTACATCAGGCTGTTCTGACAAAGGATTGTAATGGTTGTTGAATAGATGATAAAGAAATAATATTGCTCAGAAACAATTTCCAGTAGATTGCGGTAAGATGGGTGTATACGTGATGACCTGTGATGATGATAGAGAACGGAACTGGCCTTGGGATAGCTGGAGCACTTGCCTAAATGGACTGGGGTTACCGTGGCAACTGTAGGATTTGTCATTGAAGGACATCAGAGGTATAAACAGAAAATAGCTTTTATGGCAGGAGGTCGATCGAGGGAGAGAGAGTGTTTACAAAAGATAAAGACAGATCACATCTGGTGTGGGTTTAATTAGGAGCTTTCATATTGTACAAACAACACATTTGTCTAGCAGAATAACTTGGTTTAGCTTTGGAATGAAATGTTCTTCTAAGCCAGTATTTTTTTTTTTTTTTACCCGTATATTTGTAATGAAGCGCAGGTCTTTGTCCCACACACAGCATGCCATCATACTGTACATTACCCAGTTTCTCAGTGTAACCACCTGACACAAAAATGACAAATCCCATTGTGATTTTCAGTGCTCAAATGTTTGTTTTACTTTACTTTTATACTTTTATTTGCAAGGTGGCATTTAAATGTTTCAAAATTGACAGTAAAACATGTATAATGTAAATTGCGAAAGATTTCGATGTCATAGCTATGCTTATGAACTTTCTATTCAACAAAGAATCCTGAAATGATCAGAGTTTAAGCAGCACAGCTGTTTCAGTTTAAAATAATAAGAAATGTTTCTTGAGCATCAAAGCAGTACATTAGAATGATTTCTGAATGATCATGTGACATTGAAGACTGGAGAAAATGTTGCTGAAAATTCAGCTTTGCCATCACAGAAATAAATTACATTTTATAATAGAGTAAAATAAAATATTTTGTATTGTTTTGATCAAATAAATGCAACCTTGGTGAGTGGTATAAGAGAAATAAAAAAAAACACCCTGAACTTTTGAACAATAGTGTATCTGTATCAGTCAATATTGATATTTTACAATATTTTTACATTTAGATTGCATTTAGAACACTCTGAGAGTTCATCAGCCAAAATATCAATATATTTTATACCACGCTGCATTTTTATTTTAAAAGTCCCTTAACACTGAAATCATTGATTTACTCACTAAGGCCAATTTCTACTTTCTTTCTTTAGCACATGGTGTCGTTAGTGTTATTTTTGGACCTCATGTGGTGATGTGCATGCGTGTTTCAGATCTATCGGCGCTGCTGGCTGGTGTTTAAGAAGTCGTCCAGTAAAGGACCTCGTAGACTGGAAAAATACCCTGATGAGAAGTCAGCCTACATCAGAGCCTGTCCTAAGGTATACTTCTCACTGCAACAGTTCAGTTAAGGTCTAATCTAAGCTGTGAAAATGTCACGGGACATATGAAAGATTCGAGGAAAACATTCAAGTGTCACTTTAGTTCTCCAATTATACTAACAGCCACGTAGAGTGCATTCATACTGCGAGGGCTGGCTGGCAAGATTACGAGACAGGCAGTGTGTAAACAGATACATTTTTGAATAAAAGTATCTACGCGCAAAGACTCTCACGAATTGCTCTAACTTTGCTGACTCACGGTCCTCTGGTTTCTGTGTGTTTATCGGTCTCATTTTACCTTTCTTGACTGCACTCTGCTGCTCCCACAACCCGCTATAGACCGTGAAAGATAAATTAGATGATTAAGAGACCGCAAGTGCCTTTCCAAATGATGCGAATGAAGTTTGTCTGAATAACTAGGCTCTGTCAGTACTTCTGAGTTTGCATCGGTTGCCTTTTCTATGTTCACACAGGTGACAGAGATTAGTAATGTGAAGAACATCACAAGATTGCCTCGTGACACGAAGCGGCAAGCTGTGGCCATCGTCTTTACAGACGACACCTCTCGAACCTTCACCTGTGAATCAGGTACATCATCTTCAACTAAGGCTTGTTGTGTTGCTGCAGCAGCTGATGATGATGGGGGGAAGCTCTCATTCTTGACATTAACATGGCATTAGCAGTCTATACAGTCTGATGATGTGCTGCTCTCAGGCACATTGACATACTGCATCTCCGAGTGTATGTTTTATTCATTGAACATATTCATTGAAAGAACATGTTCATTCATCGACATCATTGAATCTTTCTGTTCTCCCAGAGCTGGAGGCTGAAGAGTGGTTTAAAACCTTGTCTATTGAGTGCCTGGGGACACGTCTTAATGACATCAGTCTTGGAGAACCAGACCTCCTTGCTGCTGGAGTTCAGTGTGAACACACAGGTAAGAGACTAAAACCATTTTCCATTTATTGTTTACCTAGCTGGATCCATGTAGCTTTTTTTGCTACAGGAATCCAATATGGCCTCAGATTTGTGGTCTACTTTAGTGACAACATGGTAGCACTTAGTTTAATCTACACTGTCAAAAAGTGTCCTGTTAAATTTACGGTATTGATGGCATATTGATGCCTGTGTATTTTACTACTTGAAACAATATATTTCAATATACAACAGTTAGTTCTGGTCCTTGAATCTGATTGGTTAAGAAGTCTTCCAGGAGTGCTGATATATCACTAGTATTCAGCAATGGGACTGTTCATCATTTGTCATTCCTGCGGTCTAGACAGGCAGCGTTTCTCTCAGCGAGCGGCAATGACGGAGGGAAAAAAAAGCCACAATAATTCTGAGAAATACTACTATTGTTTAGTCACGGATTGTAGTTTTAAGAGTTTTTCAGGTGAGAATGTTGTTGTTTAAACCTCAAATCTCTGGTTTATTTATAAAGATGGCGCCAATTTGAAAATGTGCAACAAGGTTTTCGGAGTTGTGAGGTCCGGGCGCGGGCACCGGGCACTGCAGTCAGCACTCGTGAGAACAGCCTGATTTTCTGCAAGTCCTTCTGACATTTGCCGCTGGCTTTGTTGTCTCTGTAGTGGTTCAACATGAGATTTAATTTGTTCTGTGTTTATTTAAAGTGCAATCTTTGGTCAATCTAATGTATATTTCTGATAACAAAAATCAGAAGAAACTCGATTATTAACTATAAACTAGATTAGAATCATATGTGGTGTCAGGGACTTCTGGGAATGTCTACTGGTTTCCATCATGAATTGTACGGTAATTCATAATTTTGTATCATGCAAAAACAAAAATTTGACAGTTTACAGTAAATTTTATGCAATATTAAACCATTTACTGTTTTCTTTTACCATATATGGTAAGGTAACTTACAGATAACCAGTTAACAGCCTTTTTCAGTTTTCATTTTTTTTCAGTAAGAATTACAAAAACATTTACAGCATAGGAACCAAACTATTAACCTTCTTCACTATCAGTCTCGTTGTTTTTTCTTACAGAGCGCTTCAACGTGTTCCTGTTACCCTGCCCTAATCTTGACATCTACGGAGAGTGTATGATGCAGATCACGCATGAAAACATCTACCTGTGGGATATTCACAACCCTCGCACCAAGCTAGTAACCTGGCCGCTTTGCTCTCTGCGGCGCTACGGACGGGATGCTACACGCTTCACCTTCGAGGCTGGCAGGTAAAACCTGTTTAAGATATCATCAAAATTTAAAGCCAATAACAAGTACCATTCACAGGAACTTGTGAAATTTGTAATGTGTACTTCACTTTGGTGTGGTCATGTATATGTAGGAGAAACATGGAAGCAGAGGAGGGAGCCATTGAACTGTGGACCTCCTAAAAGGATTTATTGAGTGGATTACAAGGAGTTCAATGGCAGATTAGGTGTTCTTATCTCTCTCACTGCTTTGATCAAATAATAAAAGAAGATTCGCATCGCCAGCTGGATGCCCTTTGAGAGAGTTTTAGAGAGAAGTTGAGTCTGGTGTAACACTGACCCCTAGTGGCTATTTTACTGTAACACACAAAGCATGTGTAGTGCACAGTAAATGATATTTCTTTGCAGTACATCACTTTTGCATTGCTTGATTGTGTGTTACTATCTTGTTTGATTTTGTGTCAGGATGTGTGACAGCGGGGAGGGCCTGTACACTTTCCAGACACGAGAAGGAGAGCAAATCTACCAAAGGGTTCATTCTTCCACTCTAGCTATAGCTGAGCAGCATAAGAGGGTCCTTATGGAAATGGAAAAAAACAGCAAGGTAATGAAAGCATACAGTGGGTCCAAAAGTCTCAGACTAGATTAAAAATCTTAGTTTGAAAATCTGATTTAAAAAGGAAAATAGAAAGTGCTGACACTTTAAAACCAAGACACATTTAAAAAAGAAAATAGTCTGCACTGTTTCTAGGTCACTATAAACAATTTTTGACATTAACCTTTCTCATTAACCTTGTGAATGTCTTTGTACAAAAAGCATTCTTTGAAACAGCAGTCTCAAATAAATTATATACACTGCTGTTCATATTTATTTATACCGTTCATTTATTTGATCAAAAATACAGTAAAAACAGAAATATTCTGAAATATTATTACAATTAAAAATCATTTACAGCATCATTACTCCAGTCTTCAGTGTCACATGATCCTTCAGAAATCATTCTAATATGCTGATTTGGTGATCAATAAACTTTTATTATTATCATCAATGTTGTAAACAATTGTGCTGCTTAATATATTAGTGGAAACTGATACCCTTTTTTCCGGATTCTTTGATGAATAGAAAGTTTAAAAAAAAAAAACGAATTTATTTGAAATACAAATTACTTGTAACAAAGTGTGTCTTTACTGTCTCTTTTTGATCAAATTAATACATTTGTGTTGAATAAAAAATTTAATTTTGAAAGGTAGAGTAATTTGTAATGACTGTTTATGCTAGCTAAATAAAAGCATCATCACTAGAGGTCTCAGACACCACTGTAGTTATATGCCCCCACACACACACACACACACACACACACACATACACAGTGCTTATTAAAACAAGACTGGAGAGATTGCAGTGCAAATAATCTGATTTTATTCCTGTTATAGAACATCAGAACTAATGCCATACTTTGTGTTATAATCAACCTAATTGAAATTCTCTTCTCTCCTCTCACATCTGTCCCCAGCTTTTATCTAAGGGTTCAGAGGGGACATCCTACCCCTGCACACCGACAGCAATCTTACCACGAAGTGCTTTCTGGCACCACATCACCGGATCTCAGGCTGGGGTGGACTCTGCCAACGGTGAGATTGAATCGCATGCATAAGTGTGATGTATTTGTTTCACCAGCCATAATAATAGTCTGCCAGAAGTATTGTTGTTTGCAAAGAGCGCTCCTAGAACATGTCTCGAGAAAAACAATTTAATTCAAATTTATTTGTGTAACGCTTTTCACAATACATATCCTTTCAAAGCAGCTGTACAGAAAATGCATGTCTACATTACAATTTAGAGTGATCTGTTATCAATAAGAGAATTCTTTCAAAAACATATTTGATTTAAAAAAAAAGGTTCCTTGTGTTAAGTCAAGTCAAGTCACCTTTATTTATATAGCGCTTTTTACAATACAGATTGTATCAAAGCAGCTTCACAGTGATAACATGAAAATAATACAACAAAGTTTGTTTCTAGAAGAAAATTGCGTCATCGTCCACCTTAAGGCAGATCAATAATATAGTTGAATATTAAATGTCCCCAACTAAGCAAGCCACAAAAAAAAAAAGGCAAGCAACCAAAACTCCGTCAGGTGACAGAATGGAGAAAAAAACCTTGGGAGAACCCAGGCTCAGTCGGGGGCCAGTTCTTCTCTGGCCAACGAGCAAACAGTGTATGATTGTGATCCAGGCAGCATTACAGGTCAGAAGTCAGATTGGATCAGAACATTCCCGAATATTAATCCAGTTCCATCTGGTTGGAAGTCGGAGTCATCACGCCGGTATGGAGACGAGTTTGTTGAGGATCAGTGCCGATGGCCGTCGTGTCGATGAGGCCTTCACAGGGCTGATTAGGCTGGCACTTCAGGGATGCGTCATGGATGGGTCCAGGAGGTGCAGGTCCACCATCTGATCTGGATCCGGCTGGGATCCGGCTGACTTCAGTAAACAGGGAAGGGACTGGTTGACACTTCAGGACTGCGTTGTGATCGTGTCTAGGCGCAGGTCCTGCATCAGATCTGGATCCGGCGGACTGCGGTAAACCTCGGATAAACAGAGAGACTAATATTAGCGTAGACGCCATCCTTCTTATGATGTAACAAGTACATCAGGATTTGTGGGGAGTGTTCCCGGTTCCAGCTGATCTAAACTATGCAGCCTAAATTGAATTATAGAAGTCTATAATGTGTTATGTGTATGCTAGGCCAAAGAGATGTGTATTTAGTCTAGATTTGAACTGACAGAGTGTGTCTGCTTCCCGAACAATGTTAGGAAGATTGTTCCAAATAGGAAAAGGATCTACCGCCAGCAGTCGATTTTGATATTCTAGGTATTACCAACTTGCAACTGGAATTTTGAGATTGCAGTAGACGTGAAGTACTATAATGCGTTAAGAGCTCCCTCAAGTACTGGGGAGCTAAACCATTTAGTGCTTTGTAAGTGATCAGCAGTATTTTCAAATTTATACGATGTTTAATAGGGAGCCAATGCAGTGTTGACAGAACTGAGCTAATATGGTCATACTTCCTGGTTCTGGTAAGAACTCTAGCTGCTGCATTTTGGACCAGCTGTAGTTTGTTTATTAAGCGTGCAGGGCAACCACCCATAATAGCATTACAATAATCTAGCCTTGATGTCATGAACACATGAACTAATTGTTCTGCATTTTTCATTGAGAGCATATGACGCAATTTAGATATATTTTAAGATGAAACAATGCGGTTTTACAGATGCTAGACACGTGACTTTCAAATGAAAGGTTGGTATCAAAGAGCACACCCAGGTTCCTAACCGACGACGAAGACTTGACAGAGCAGCCTTCAAGTGTTAGACAGTATTCTAGGTTATTACGTGAGGAAGTTTTTTGTCCAATAATTAGAATCTCTGTTTTTTCAGAATTAAGTAGTAGGAAGTTGCTAGTCATCCAGTTTTTTATATCAGCTATGCATTCCGTTAATTTTGTGAATTGGTAAGTTTCATCAGGGTGTGAAGAAATATAGAGCTGCGTATCATCAGCATAACAGTGAAAACTAATGCCACGCATTAAACTTTAGTTTACAAAGACGTGAAACTCACCGAGTGGTCTGGGGTGTTCACTGATATGCTCACACAAAAAACGCTGCAAAAGATGCTTTCCAACAGGTTTTATCGTAGTTTTTGTCCAAGTCAAGTCAATGGAGTATATGGGCCAGCAGCATGTGTCCAAATTTCAATCTTAACCATTCTATTTCATCAGAAACGATCTTAAAACAGGGCTTTAAGTGTAAAATACCGAACTTGTCCTTAAGGAAGAGGATCTTTGACCTCTGGAAGCATCTCTTTCATTAGCTTAGTTGGTATAGGGTTTATTATACATTGATTTAGATGATTTAACGAGTTAAAATAATTCTTCCTCTCCTATAGTAATGAATGAATCGAATTTTTCCTTAGGGAGACTACAATGCACTCCCGGATGCGATACTGTAGTAGACAGTTGCATAGTTATAATTTTCTCCCTGATATTATCAATCTTATAAGTGAGGAAGTTCATCAAGTCATTACTGCTGTGCTGCTTGGAAACTTCTGGGCTTGAAGCTTTCTTTTTCGTTAGTTTAGCCACTGTTTCAAATAAATACCTAAGGTTTTGTTTATTTTCTTCTAATAGGGTTGAAAAATAAGCAGATCTAGCTGCTTTTAAGGCCTCTCTATATGCAATCGAGCTCTCTTTCCATGAAATGCGAAATACTTCTAGTTTTGTTTTCTTCCAGTTGGGCTCCATTTTTCTGGCTGTTGGACTATTTTCTTTAATCTTCTTTAAACGCAACGGAGCAACTGTGTCTAAAGTACTGGAAGAGAGAGAGTTAAAAGTTTCTGTCGCAATATCGAGTTCTTTTAAGCTATCTAGGATGCTGAGATGATGAAACTGATCAGGAAGATTATTAATAAAGCAATCTTTAGTGGCAAAATTGATAGGTCTAACATATTTGTAACACGGAGTCGGCTTTGCAGCCTTGGCTAAATGAAGTTTACACAAGACTATATAATGATCTGAGATGTCATCGCTCTGTTGCAGAATTTCAACGGTATCAACATTGATTCCGTGTGATAATATTAGATCTAGAGTATGATTACGACAATGAGTAGGTCCTGACACGTGTTGTCTAACTCCAATAGAGTTAGAATATCTTTAAAGGCAAATCCCAATGCATTTTTTTCGTTATCTACATGTATATTAAAATCACCAACAATTAGGACTTTATCTGCAGCGATAATAACTCTGATAGAAAGTCACCAAATTCTTTGATAAAGTCTGTATGGTGCCCTGGTGGCCTGTATACAGTAGCCAGCACAAATCTCAAATGTGATTTATCATTTACACTATATATTGTTACATTAAGCACCAACACTTCAAAAGAATTATACTTGAAACTAGATTTCTTAGTAATTCTGAAAATATTACTATAAATTACAGTTAGAATCACATCTGATGATTGTTATAATGGTTGGTGTTATTAAAAGTGAAAATCATTGTAATAACCCATAAATCACTTTATTTTCTGTGTAAAGCAGCTGCATTAGCATGCATGGCTTTTGTGCTATTTAGACCATCCTGTTAACACTTCTCATCTTCATTCAGGTGACATCTATGGTGATACCCAACCAGGAGTGGACACTGACCTCTTCTCTAAACGCCTTCCTCCAGAACGACATTCGACCCTTCCTGTGGGGCACGGCTGCCCCCAACCCCCGACGCACTACCCCACGTACCCCAGCGAGTGAGCGGCTTAGCAGTGAAACCTTCCAGTTTTTCACCTCTTGACCTCCCTCCACACTGCACTCTGCCCTAAGTTTTTCCATCAGCTCTTCCTCAGCAGGGGAAGATCCATGCTGCCATGCTGCCTCAGTTCCCCCTGAGCCTGCCAGCGACGCTGAGGGCACTTACTGTGGAAAGAGGGAAACGCACTGTGAAGCTTGAAGTGCTTCGATTGGAGCAGGGCCCACAGACCCTTGAAACTGACACGGGAGATGCAAAACAATGTTGGAACTGGCTCAGTCGCCTTCACAGTGCAATATGGTCACTCATGCTGGGTTTCTGTGGGAGTAGAGACTATACTGTAGGTTCTTAATACTTCTCAGCAGTATTTCTTATTCTAACTCTAATCTCATGCACGCTCTTCAACCCTATGCATGTCCCCCAAGGTAAACGGCTTAGCTACGATGGAGTTTCTTAGACATCTGTAGAAGCCCCTACACACTAAGAAACCCCAGTGGAAGGGCCTTCAGAGTTTCAGCTTAAACACTTCTGGTCTATGGTATAAGTAATCGAAAGCGTGTTTTGATCAGATGCTTTAATCATAATTTGATTGGCATGTCTGTAAGACTAGCGCAGAAGACTCTGAGGAACCGGGAGCACTTTCTGAAAGGGGCATTTTGTATGGTCGTGCATTTTGTTTCTCCTCTTCCCTTACTTTAAAGTGACTAAAATGGACAGTTATAATGTACAAAACTGTCTCTGCCATTTGGACGGAAGTGAGAGTTAGTACTCACTCGCTCGCGTGCTATGTGTTCATTTCAGAGACTGGTCCACCGTTTTATCTGGAAGTTTTCATGAGGGTCAGAGATCCAAGTACAGAGGGAAACAAAGGTTATGAATATACCCCGCTGAGGTGGTCGAATGAATTATTTATTTATTTATTGAAGTTTACCAACAAAGCACAAGACAAATTGCAGTGTATAGTAGTAGGTTTTCTTTAGCAGCTCAGCAGTTCTGTATGTAAAAGGGTTTATACTAGCACTGAGATCTTCAACACAAGGTGGTAGGCCTCACACAAGACATGTTTCTTGCTTTCCATGCTTGTCAACTATTTCCAGTCATTTCCATGAAATTCGTGAAAGGTGCCATAATTCTCATGCTGTAATTCTCAATTTAAGACCCTCTATGTTGGAGCTGTGGATTATCAGTTAGCACACATTCATAATGAACTGGGATGCTAATGCAGGCAACTGGAGTTTGATCAAGCTGATCGACCAGCATGGTGAAGCTGGTTAACCAAGTCTTGCTGTTGTTTAAGCAGCGTGGTGGGAACACCAGCATGCTATTCTGGCCATTTCACTATCATTCCCTGTGCTCTCTCAACTATCCATATAAATACAAGTGTCATAAAGGCCAAAAACTAAATAAACGCATCCAAATGTGCAGCTCAAAACAGCAGATGTGCAGTCTCTGTGAATGATCTGATCAAACATTTTGTCTGACACAGAATTCTTTCGGTTGTGTTCTCCAATTGAGCTACAGTCCTGAAGGTTTGACTCCCTGTTGCTTTATACATTTTATACATAAATATTCATTCAGTGTTTGGATTTATTAACTCACGTCATGTATGTACCATTAAAAAGCGCTTTAGCTGATCTGATTGTCATGATTGTACACTTTGATGATAAAAAGAAAGTGGATTTTATCAGGTGCCCTTGCAAACAGTTTAAAAAAGTGTTTGTTTTTATCAGTATATATTTCAACAGTGGCACAGCCCTTTGAAGATAAGCACCTTTTATTTGAACTTCAGTTCTATTTGCCATGTCTAATTATCAGTCAAATCATATAAATACAGCCTTGGTGAGCATGAGAAAATTCTTTCAAAAACAAAAATCTTACCTACCCCAAACTTTTGAGAGGTAGTGTTTGAATTGTAGCTCATTGTAGAAATGTTTCCCTGTATGTCCCTGTTTTGCAGTTTGCACAGTTCATCTTAGTGCTATCCATTAAAAATATATAAAAAGAACATGATTTTTACATGCTGCTGCAAGGTAGAGACCAAATAATAGCGCATACCAGTAATACACACACCAAAATAATTCCTTATGATTTATTATTCTTCCCTATTTAACTAATTTGTTTGCAGGAGATATAATAATTCAACATTCATGTAATCACCCTGAAATGAGTTATATATTTGTACATAAACAGCCAATGGTCCCTGGAGAGAATCTCATTGTGCTTAACAGAACAATCTGTTTGAATTATCAGAGTATCATTTCCATCTCTTTGCAAGACAGAAGCACTACTGTGAAAGTTAATACTGACATGCGAAATGACAGACACAAGGAAATCGTAAACCAAGGAAATACTAAAGATGAAGGCTGTACATGAAATTGTGTGGGAAAAGTGCTAAAGAGTTGTTATACTAAACTTAAATTGCAGTACTCTGTATTTGTAAAAGACCTGTGAACAAGAAGAGTGATAAACATGCTGTTTTGGAGGCTTTGCCAGTTCTTCGGCAGTTTAGATTGACCTCTGAGCATGTTGCCATGAGAAGGAACCCTTTGCATGAGTTTTAATTGCTAAATGACGTGTGTTCTGTATAATTTGTGGTAAAATATTTTGCAGGGTTTTTCTTTTTTCAATAAAACAAAGTTTTATAAAATCGGATGTCATGATGATCCTTTTGATGATGATGATTATTATGATCCCTTTATTCAAGATGTAGGCAGTTATTGATTTTATTTTTTAAACCGTATGCGTTACAGAAAAGTACCAAGCACAGCAAGTAATTTATGTCCTGAAATACTACACAGCCAAGTTAACCAGTTTACCAGCCACTCACCATTATTCACTTTTGTATTCCACAGTTGTCATAATCACATTAGCCAACTCTTTATTAACTAAAATGCAGAACCCATGGAGGATGGATGCTATTAAGCATTAAGAACCCCTCCCTTTCTCTGTAATATTGTTTCTTCATCAGTTACTGCTAACCAAAATCAGCCAACAGCCTATGTGTCAGGTAAAACTTCCATTTCTTCTTTCTTACCCACAAGCTCAGTATTCATGTTTGAAAGGGTTTATTTTCTGAGGATTCATACATGTAGAGTTGTTGTTTTAAATATTATTGTTAATGTTGTTTGGAATATTATCTAACCTTTATGATATTATTATAGTTTTATAGATATTATAAATAGAAAGTCGAGATGTCTTCTGTGGAAAAAACAGATTTGTATTATTATCAAAAAATAAATGCATTGAATATATTATTTTTATTCCATTCTATTTCTGATTTTGGCAAGCAGACTTTTTGCATTTTACACCCAGCATTTCATTTCTGGGTTTAATTTCTAAAGCAGCAACATAGTTACATTTATGAAATTTAGGGTCACGGTTAACCCATGTTTATGAGATTGATTATTGAGGAAAGCATTGTCAATCATTTTCTATAGTGCCTGTTAGTGGATGTTTCTAATAGCACTGTAGCAAATTCTAATCATGTGTTTCAGCACAAAAGGAGTGTCACTTTCACAAAAACTGACGGAGAGCGCTCTACACCACAACATATAATTAAGGTATGCTTATATATTTTATTTAGCATAAAAATAATAAAAATTAAGATATTTAATTCCCAAGTGATTCACTGTACGTGCAAGTGTGTTTTTGTAATTTGCCAAAATTAACTATCAAGTGTCTTACAGATTTTGCCAATGTATGTAATATGTTACATACATGAGGTTACAATACAGCATACAACTTAAATGAATAAAGCCAATTAGATGAGTTTGAATCGAAAACAGATTTGTTTTATTTCAGTTTGAACATCCTAATTTACAGAACATGGCCTACCCTGAAACCTCAACCAAGATGACAATCCAGTTAGAAGTAAACCATTTAAATTGGTTACTGGGGGACTTCAATTGGACATCTGTGAAGAATGTTTTCTGTGTGTCTTCATCTGAAATGGTGGCTATATGGATCATTTTCTCCATTGAGTTTCTTGTCATGTCTCTGGCACTCTACGGATTGTGCTGTCTGCTTAGGTCTGACAATACGGTTCCTATATTTGTCATAAACCTTTTTGTTTGTGATATCATACAGATTTGTGTCAAGCCTGTTGTGCATTTTTGTACACTGAATGTTCTAGTCTTTTTTATCTTTTATTTTTATGTCATGAGCGTAAAAGTTAATATTGGCTTCATGGTCTGTATCTCTATGGAAAGATACATAATGATCAAATACCCTGTTTGGTACAGACTTCATCATACTTGTAAAAAATCAGTTCTGATATGCTTGATAGTTTGGGCAATATCATGTGGATATATGGTGATTGCTGTGATTATTGCATTTAAAGGCCATTTGGAATTTGCGTTTATTCTAAATGTTTTTCTTTTTTTGCTGCCTTATCCACTGGTTGTGTTTTCCTTTGTGGGTTCGTGGAGGGCTCTCTCTCATTCAGTCGCAGTCACCCCTGATGAACAGAAGAGGATTTTGAGGATTCTGGCTCTTGTACTTTTCAATTACACTGTGTTGTTTCTGCCAACAATTGTTCAAAACGCAATTTTCGCAATATCCTTTAAGAGCGGAATAAGTGGTTATTATGATTGTTTTCGTTCAGTGTCAGGAATCATGTTGTATTTAAATCCACTCGCTGACTCTTTGCTCTATGTTTTCATAAGGAAGGATGCTAATAACATGCTTAGATATTTGTGTTGTAAGAAGCTACATGAAAATCAAGTGTAGCCCTTCTATTCTCCAATTCAGAAACTGCCATGTTAAGTTACTGTGTTTTTTGTAGGGATCAAACCAGCAAGTATACAATTGAAATGAAAGCCCTGCATTTTGCTATTAGACCACAAATGGCAATTAACAAAATGTGTATAAAGTTTCATTTGAGTCATTGAACAGTATCAAGGACAGAGCAGGAAGCTATTTATTGCATTTTATCCACTTTACTGAGTCCTCATCATTACTCACATTTGAAATGCAACAACATATCTGTCAATCCCTCTGAGTTTAAGTGATTTCAGGAAATGCTGGTCAAATATTAATCGGATTGCATGAGAAAATGCAGAGCTCCTCCCTCTCTATGCTGTTTCTTCATCAGTTACTTTCCACCATAATCAACCAGCAGCAGCTAGGTAAACCCTTTTCTTTGCTCTTTAGAGTCATTGTTCATTGTCTTGGGAAATATTTGTTAGAATATTAATCTTATTTTGAATTAATTGTGTATTAAAATGTGTTCACATCTAATTTTATCAGGCAATGCTTTTACTTTGTGTTGTAAAAGTATATTAACAGACTAGCATTTGGGAATCTAAATATTTTATGTACTGTCAAGAATGAATGAATGAATGAATGAATGAATGAGATCTGATTCTATAATGAGAATGTATAGCAAAATTCTGTATTTCAGCTCAATAGGAGTGTCACTTTCACAAAAGCTGATAGGACAAAGTGAAATAATCACCATAAAAACCAAGGTATGTTTGGACATATTTCTTGTGCTCTATAAATTTAAATGGCAAGTTTAATTAGCGATTTACAGTGAACTTTAGTTCATGCTTATAATGAGAAGATTCAATGATGAATACATATATCTCTTTGTGCACTTTTATAATGCTGCTGAAGCCTTTTTGTGTTGTTTAGGAATGGAGCTCCTCTAATCTGTTTCACATGTTTTCATTATCAGTAAAATCACTATTGAAAGTGATCTTCATGTAACATGTCTAAAAACTTCCTGTTGTAATTTGCACATTTATTGACTACATTTCTATCAATATTGTCTCTTTCTGACAAAGAACTGAATAATGAAACATGTATAGCTGACAATGATATTTGTAAAGGTGGACTTTGATGGCATTCATCTGTGGACTAGTGTTAATTTCACAAAAAATGCATTTTTCTTAAAAGATCAAATTCAAAATTCACTTGTTATAGATCCAGAGTACATCCGAGACACAGAAAATGGTTTATACTGGAGCATCAACCAATAGTACTTTCCAACT